GCGCGGGACAGACCCGCAGGCAAGCACCCGGGCGCCGTCGTCTTTCTTGGCCAGACCCAACAGCCTCCCTGCCAGCGCCAGCGTCAGCACCTCCATAGGCGCGTCTCCCCCAGCAAGCGTGGCCAGCACACGCGCCGTGGCCTCTCCTCGCCCGGCCGCGTGAGCCAGCGGCTGCCGCTCGAACCGGTCGCCCTGTGGACCGGCGCCCGCCCCTTGGGGCACCTTTCGCCAGTGACCTCGCAGGCATTCCTCCACGTCTCGGCGCAGTTGGTGCGCAGACTCGGCGTCAGCAGGTCCGTCCACGTCGTGGCTATCAGGCTCCTGCGGGCCCTGCTGCGCGAAGGCTTCTGCGGTTTCGGCGGGGGTGCGCATCGCTGCTGCCCCCCAGGCGGCTGCGGCAGCCCGGCCAAGCTCACTCTTCATCAGCAAACTTCGCGCCCGGGCGCCAGAGGGGCGCGCCCTGTCGACGGCCTGCGGCTTCTTGGCCACCGGGGGGGCGGGAGAGGCGGAGGGGGAGCGGGGGAAGGAGGGGGCGAGGAGGGGGAAAGGGGAGGATGCGGCCCGTCCGGCCTCGGCCTCCTCCTCCTCCTCCTCCTCCTCCTCCTCCTCCTCCTCCTCCTCCTCCCCCTTCTCCTCCCCCTCCCCCTCCCCCTCCCCCTCCTGCTCCTGCCCCTCCTGTTCCTGCTCCTGCTCCTCCTCCTGGCGCGTGGGCTGCGCGCCAGGTCCACCTCTACGTCGCCCTCTATGCGGCCGCCCGCCTGGCGCGCCGCCGGCGGGCATTCTTGACCTGCGGGATCATTTCCCTGCACTTGCCTATCTGTAGCGGGCGGGGAGGGAGGCAACACGCACGACAGAAAATCACATGGGCGACGGCAGGAATCTCGAGCAACGCACTCGGGGGATCGAGGAAACCGAGGCGGGAGACCACACGTGGGGGGAGATCACCGCCGAACACAAAGGCGAGGAGATCGAGGAACGCGGGGCAAGAAAGGTAGTGGGGCGTGCTGCCTGGTGCCCTGCATCCTAGAATAGCTGTGCTCTGGGTATATTGAAATCTTCTGCCTGTCGTCCAAGCCCCCGACATGGCCTCGATCCATGCCGTGGCCCACGGGTTCGGAAACGAACGAACAGCAGCCTGGATCTCGGGCCAACTGATCTGTAAACTGGCAGGTCGGTTCTCTGGGAACCAGCACAAGAGCCTAGACTGAGACGTTTTGTGCAGACGTGCTGGGGAAAGGTGAGCCTTCAGCTCACGAGCGATAGTTCGTTGCAGTTTGGATCAAAGGTCGTCCAAAATCTTCGCGCTCTCCTCCAAAAGCCGACGGCCGCCATCAGCCCGCGCGGGGAAGCTCGGAAATCCTCGCGTCGCCTCTCTCAGAATAGCCACCATCGGTGGCGTGCTCCAGAAGTCTGGCGAAAGCTGCCCTCCTATGACTTTGACCAGGGGGGGGGGCCAGCAGAGCATCAAACATACGGGGCCAAGTGGCGAAGGTTCTGAGGGCGCAGCGCATGAGAGAGGCGAGATTGACCGCGACGCAACTGGTGAGCGACGGGCCACCCCACGCGTCTAGATTGAAGCAATCACTAAGCGTGAGAGAACAATGAGGGATAGAAAGGACACGGGCAAGAGTCGCATGCTCAGCGCGAGCGAAGAAGTGGGGGAACAGGAAATGTTGAGAGATGCGCGACAGGACCGTGGCCGCGCGCACGCAGTGCACTCGTGCAGAGACGGCCTGCGGAGCAAGCGCCGCAATAGTAAGGGAAGTCCCGGTGCAGTGCTTCAGAGAGGGGGCGACCCGCGACTGCTCAGACGACGACGGGCCAATCGCCGCACCCAGGTACCTCACTAACTGGATCGCGCGGAACTCCCCCCCCCCTGGGAGCTCAGAGCGCAGCCGTGACCGAATTTCTTCTATCACCGGCACCAGACAGCGCATTTTGAACTTCAGGCACAGAGAGGCGACGCGCCGAGCAACGCGGAACACCACCGCAAGAAGGCGGATAACCGTGATCTGGAACACGCATGATTCCACATCGTCCGCGCAGGCTTTGACCTCTCCGCGGCCAGGAGACGCAACCAGGGCCCGAAAATGCTCATACAGGGATGTGACGCCATCGAAAAGAGCGCCCCCGACGCTGGGCACCCCTGTATGATCCCCGAGGTGATCGCAAAGAGAAATCGACTCGCGAACGAGACCTGACCTACACAGTTGACGCCATCTTAGATCATCCGAAGGAAGAGGAAGAGGGGAGGCGGAAACCTCAAGGACGAAAAAGAACAGGAATACCCACTCCTGAGAGATCGAGGAAAAGGCCTGGCCAAAGTCAAGCGCGGCCAGCAGCGGCCTGCGAACCTCGGCACTAGGTTTCAAACCTGTTATCCTGGAGGCTGCGTCCAGCTCGAGCACATTTAAACCGAAGTTTCGCCCCGGGACAAACCCCCTCTGATCGGCGTCGATAAACTCGGGCAATCTACGGGGAAACCCGCAATGCAAACCGCGGCTAAAACTTTCACGTCGCAGCTTGTCATTCCTAGCGGGCGCGTTTGAAGGGCCTCACAAGCGATGGTCCCATCCTCGTTGGCATCTGGGTCCTTCGGGGCCCACTCTCCTCCCAAATCGTTGAACCCGCAAAGCGTCGGGGGCCCCGCTGGGCGCCATCGGGGCGCCCCCTCGAGAATTATTTCGCCGAACGGATGATACCTCCGCGCCTGGTAGTGCAAGCCATCGGGGCCTGCCGCGCGAGCAGGCGCATGACCGAGCTTGCAACGCATCAGACGGGCGCCAGGCAAAGGCAGGTCAAGCAGGCCAGCCTGCGCCGCAAAGCGCGAGAGGTGCTGCTCGGCAGCGGCCAGGTATATCTCCTTGGCTCTAAACACTGGGGCCCGCGCCTGCGCCAATCCGTCTAACATTTCATGGGGGTCCATCTTCGTGTTGTCCTGGATCTTCAGTCCCTGGAGGCATAGCTTTCGGCCAATCGGAACCCATGGCTTTCCATGGACCTCAAGCCTTCGGAGACGCCGTTCAAGTCCGGCGCGCACTTGATGTCCGGATTGGCGAAGATGGGCAGTGTGACGGGCCTGGGCAGACTGGTTCAAGTTCGAGTTGACCTCGTTGGTGAGTACCGTAAACTTCTCTTGGTCCACAAGGCTTACCTTTAGGGCCAACGGGTCGGTCCCGAGGTGGGGGCGACCGAGTCCGCGCGCATTCTGGACGACGAGCGAGACGAACGTCCTGTCTCCAAACGGCACGACCGATCGATTTGGCAACCACCCACCTCGTGAAAATCTGTGGCGGCGAACGAATGATCATAGCATCCCGAGCGAAGCGAGCGGCCTCCCTCAATACTTCCTCGTGAAACTCATGCTTCAAAGGCAGGCTGAAATGGTCCGTGTCCACCTGGTCGAAAACAAAATGGATGAATGCCTTGTGCTCGGCTCTCTGGTATATTTCAGGATGAATGGGTCTCTCTCTGCGCTGCGCTGGGGCCCCCGGGTTCTAACGAAACCAGAACCGCAAAATCATCCGAGAGCCTCGCGCGGTGATTGGCCTTCGGGCTACCTTCCGCGCGAGCCCCGCGCGCGAGGTTCGTCGGCGCCTAGCCAGGCAAGGAGCAGAAAATGCGGTCGATGGTGGAGACCGAGCGCTCGGACTGACGGAAGTGCGTCGGCTCGCGCGCCTCGAACTCGATGGGGTTACTAGCGATGGCCGCCCAGTCAGCCCTCGGATTCGAATGCCACCCTTGGACAGGCCCCGCTCGCCCCCAAAATTGGTCATCAGAAAGCCCCGGGGAGAAAGCGAATGCTGGAACAGGGCCCCCCCCCCCCCCGGCAAAATTGGAGTCGCCCGAGACAAACTTGATGTACTTCATGGGGCCAGACTGGACGGCCTAACATCTTCTCGAACCCGATCGCGGAGTGCCGCCCTATCCTCTGGAGCGATCCCGAAGTTGTGGAGATTGGAATGTATCATAGTAAGTAACCCCCTCCTGGAACTGGATGCTGAGCCTCGAGACCCTCCCCGCCACGATGGTCTCGTGCTCTATGCGCGGAAGGTTCGGGGGCTGTCGAACATCGGGGGGGGGGGGGGGGGGGCGCGATCCGCCGGCCCCCATGCGGGGCCGCCAGGCTGTAGGGCGGAGCTTCGCAGTTTCCTGTGCCAGTTGCGGCTTCCAGATTCCACTGTTGCAGTTCTGCTTCTCGCTGCTCACTGTTCCTTGTTACAGCTCTGCCCCATTGCTGCTCGCTGTTTCTCGTCGATGGGCCGCGCGAGGAGGGGGGGGCCCAAAATGTGTAATATTTCCACTGCCTAAACGCATGCTCTGAATTGCTGGGGCGGGCAAATAAGGGCCCCCCCCATCGCGCAAATCGGCGGGGCCAGTGTGAAAAAAAAACAACGGATTTGCAGCATTTGTGAAATCCGGTGGCGCCCCTCGCGCAGATCGGCGGGGCCGGTGCCCTGATTGGCCGCATTTCTGAAATTTGCCCCCGCCCTTCGCGCAGATCGGCGGGGCCAGGGCCCAAAAACACAAAAATGATTTGCAGCGTTTCTGACGCGCGGCGGCGCCGCTCGCGCGGATCGGCGGGGCCAGGGCCCTAAAACGCATGGGACGCGCCACATTGCTGAAATTCGATGGCGCCCCTCGCGCAGATCGGCGGGGCCAGGGCGCAAAAACGCAGCGAGGATTCGCCGCGTTCCTGAAACTCGGCGGCGCCCCTCGCGCAGATCGGCGGGGCCAGGGCCCAAGAGCGCCAAGGGTTTGCTGCATTTCTGAAATCCAGTGGCACCCCTCGCGCGCATCGGCAGGGTCAGGGCCCCGAAACGCATGGGATTTACTGCATTTCTGAAGTTCGGCGGCCCCCCTCGCGCAGGCCCGTGAGGCCAGGGCCCAAAAGCGCCCAGATTTGCGAAATGCGGAGGCACCCGCGACGCAGATCCGCAGGGCCGGGGTCGAAAAACAAGCCCCGACGCTGCTTCGCGGCGGCGCTCAGACCTCATGATTTAGCTTTTGCATGTCCCAATGCCCGAGACAGGAGGCCGGCGGCATAGGGCGAAACCTTTGCGGGTAACTCCTCCTCTCGCTCGTCGCTGCGAACCAATGCCTTCTGCTGGCCCGCGCCCGTCGAAACCCGGCGCTGGCCCCCCATCCGCGTCGGAGACCGGGCAGAAATGAGAGGTCGCCTCATACCGCCTGTGGAGGTGATCGAGTAAATCGCGAAGCTCACGTGCAAGCCGCCTCGCGTCTTGCACTCCCGCGAGTGGGCCAGGCACCGACAGGTCAGTCAAGCATCGAAGCTCGTGAGATCTAAGACGGAGACCGCGATGGCAAGGAGACCGAGCGCTCCACGAGCCTAGCGCGGGCGAGAGGGTCCCCCAACGTAGGGCGTCCAGAACTGCAGGGCCGCGCTTAAAAACTCCACGCAGGTGTCGTTTCCCTGCCGGCGACGGCTTGCTTGACCAGCGGCTCCACCTCCGCTCTGTCCAAATCGAGCTTGGCGAAGGCGCAGAGGTATTGCTGCATCTTGGCAGGCCCGTCCTCGAGCGGTGTGATCTGGCAGAGCGGGGTCCACTGCGACGACAGCTCGCCCCGAGCGTTCTTGGCGAAGAAACGGCGCTCTGGAAATCGCTCCTCAAAAGCGCGCTTGGCCCGCTTGAGTGCGAGCTCCCTCTGGATCTGCTGCGGCGACTTCTCCTCCGCCGCGCGCAGCTCCTGGCGGTGGCTCTGCGCGCCCACGACCGCGAACCGCTCCCAGGTCCTCGGGCCCGCCCCGAGAGCCCCCAGCGCCTGCTGCACTCGCCTGGCCGCAACCTGCGGCGCACCAGCGAGTCGGTTGGCGAACTTCTTGTCCGCGGGGGCAGAGTCGATCGACCACTCCTCGGCCTCCAAGCTGGCGCGCTCCAACCAGGGGGTGGCGTTCTTGACCTCCGCGCTGGCCACCAGCGTCGCGGTCCCCGTTTGGGGCGCCTCTGGGGCTGTCTTGGGTCGATATTCGTGGCCTCTTGGGCCGTCCGGGGCCCTTCTGGGACGAAAAATGGGAGCACGCTAAAAACATGCAAAAAGCCTGAGGGACATCAAGGTTGTTGGCCTCTGGAGGCCCTCTCAGGGGGCCCTCTTGAGGGCCTCCGGGGTCGTCTCGAGACTTTCTTGGACCGTCTTGGGGCCCTCCTGGGCCGTCTTGGGGCCCTTGGGCCGCATCACCAAAACATGCGAAGAAACTGGCCATGGGAGCCGCCTGGGAGCCGCTTCGCTCGAGAGAATACAAGGGAAACGGGCCATTACCACCGCCACGCCCGCGCCTCCCCCCCACTTGCACCCCCCCGAAGAAGGGCTTCGCCCCTGCTCAACGTCACTCGCTCGTACCTCGCTCTTTCTAGGAGGGAAACGGCCCCCCGAACGGCCATTAGACATATGCGTTCCCCCCTCGCCCCTCCTCTGGAACCCCTCCCAAGAGTGCTTCGCCCCAACTCAACGTGCATCACTCCTACCTCGCTCTCTCCGTCACCTGGGCCGGCACGGGAACAGAAAGAGCGGACCAGGAACTTGCCCGAGATAGCTCATGGCACCCTTCGTTCTTGGGAGCATTGGTGATAAGAGCTTGTTACGCCACCACTCTCTGTTGGGAGCCCTGGTGTTCAAAGACTTTTACGTTGCCGCTCGCTCCTGGGAGCCTTGGTGTTGAGACTTGTTTACGTCACCGCGCTCTGGGGAGCCTTGGTGGTCAGAGCTTGTTGCGTCACCGCTCGCTGTGGGGAACCATGGTGTCCCTTAGCGTCTCTAGGGCTTCTAGGGAATCTATTGCTCTTTTGGACCGTTTCGGGACTCTTGGGCCGTCTTTGGGCCAGCCCAGTCCCTACACCCAAGCAGCCCAGACCCCATACCGCCTCGTCGGGCCCGCTTGGGAGCCTCTTGGGGCCGTCTGGGGGCCCTCTTGGACCGAGTGTAAAGCTGAATATGCGCGCTCGACGCTTCTCTGACTCACTCGTCGAGCCGAAGCTGCCGAAGAGACCCCAACCACTGATCCGAAAACACTCGAAACATACCAAACATGATGGACCCACGAACCCGGAAAGGGATGTAGACATGTGCAGCGTGGTCACGTTTTCACGATACCCAACTGGGCGACACCTCACGAAACATCCCACGAGACACCCCGCGAAACATCCCACGAGACACCGCACGAAACATTCCACGAGACACCTCACGAAACATTCCACGAGACACCCTGTGAAACATTCCACGGGACACCCCACGAACAGGCAACCACTCAACCAGACACCCCACGAAACATTCCACGGGGGTGCGACTGGGTGTGGTGGTCGTGCTGGGGGGTGGTCGTGCTGGGGTGTGGTCGTGCTGCGGCGTGGTCGTGCTGGGGCGTGGTCGTGCTGGGGCGTGGTCGTGCTGGGGTGTGGTCGTGCTGTGGTGAGGTCGTGCTGGGGTGTGGTCGTGCTGGGGTGTGGTCTTGCTGGGGTGGGGCCGTGCTGGTGTGGGGTCGTGCTGGTGTGGGGTCGTGCTGGGGTGTGGTCGTGCTGGGGTGGGGTCGTGCTGGGGTGGGGTCGTGCTGGGGTGGGGTCGTGCTGGGGTGTGGTCGTGCTGGGGTGTGGTCGTGCTGGGGCGTGGTCGTGCTGGGGTGTGGTCGTGCTGGGGTGGGGTCGTGCTGGGGTGTGGTCGTGCTGGGGTGGTCCGCACCCTGTGATTTATCGATCGGGTCGTGCTGGGGTGTGGTCGTGCTGGAGTGTGGTCGTGCTGGGGTGTGGTCGTGCTGGGGCGTGGTCGTGGTGGGGTGTGGTCGTGCTGGGGTGTGGTCGTGCTGAGGTGGCCCGCACCCTGTGATTTATCCATCGGGATTTCAAAAACAAGCTTTTCGCCTGAGACATCCTCAAATTTTAATCCGCCGGCCCACCTCGACCTCGATATTTATCAGGGAAAGAATCAGCCGGCCCACCTCAGTTGAGGCACTGGGGACAGGTTTACAAACTAAAGAGAACCCTGGTCCTACGCCCTTTCCGGGAACATGATGGACCCACGAACCCGGAAAGGGATATAGACATGTGGAGCATGGGCACGTTTTCACGATACCCAACGGGGCAACACCTCACGAAACATCCCACGAGACACCTCACGAAACATCCCACGAGACACCTCACGAAACATTCCACGAGACACCTTTCCACGAGACACCCCGCGAAACATTCCACGAGACACCCCACGAAACATTCCACGACGACAGGCAACCACTCAACCAAGGCGGTGTGGTCGTGCTGGGGAGTGGTCGTGCTGGGGTGTGGTCGTGCTGGGGGGTGGTCGTGCTGGGGGTGGTCGTGCTGGGGGGGTGGTCGTGCTGGGGGGTGGTTGTGCTGGGGCGTGGTCGTGCTGGGGCGTGGTCGTGCTGGGGCGTGGTCGTGGGGTGTGGTCGTGCTGGGTGAGGTCGTGCTGGGTGAGGTGCGTGCTGGGGTGTGGTCGTGCTGGGGTGTGGTCGTGCTGGGGCGTGGTCGTGCTGGGGCGTGGTCGTGCTGGGGTGTGGTCGTGCTGGGGTGCTGGGGCGTGGTCGTGCTGGGTGTGGTCGTGCTCGTGCTGGGGTGGGGTCGTGCTGGGGTGTGGTCGTGCTGGGGTGTGGTCGTGCTGGGGTGTGGTCGTGCTGGGGCGTGGTCGTGCTGGGGTGGGGTCGTGCTGGGGTGGGGTCGTGCTGGGGTGTGGTCGTGCTGGGGTGGTCCGCACCCTGTGATTCATCGATCGGGTCGTGCTGGGGTGTGGTCGTGGTGGGGTGTGATCGTGGTGGGGTGTGGTCGTGTTGGGGTGTGGTCGTGCTGGGGTGTGTTCGTGCTGGGGTGTGGTCGTGCTGGGGCGTGGTCGTGCTGGGCGTGGTCGTGCTGATGTGTGGTCGTGCTGGGGGGGTGGTCGTGCTGAGGTGTCCCGCACCCTGTGATTTATCGATCGGGATTTCAAAAACAAGCGTTTCGCTCGAGACATCCTCAAATTTTAATCCGCCGGCCTCCTTCGACCTCGATATTTATCAGGGAAAAAATCCGCCGGCCTCCTTCAAGTTGGCACCGGGGGATTAGGTTTACCAACTAAAAGAGAACCCTGGGCCCCAGCCCTTTCCGGGAACATGATGGACCCACGAACCCGGAAAGGGATATAGACATGTGGAGCATGGGCACGTTTTCACGATACCCAACGGGGCAACACCTCACGAAACATCCCACGAGACACCTCACGAAACATCCCACGAGACACCTCACGAAACATTCCGCGAGACACCTCACGAAACATTCCAGGAGACACCCCGCGAAACATTCCACGAGACACCCCACGAAACATTCCACGACGACAGGCAACCACTCAACCAAGGCGGTGTGGTCGTGCTGGGGAGTGGTCGTGCTGGGGTGTGGTCGTGCTGGGGGGTGGTCGTGCTGGGGGGTGGTCGTGCTGGGGGGTGGTCGTGCTGGGGCGTGGTCGTGCTGGGGCGTGGTCGTGCTGGGGCGTGGTCGTGCTGGGGCGTGGTCGTGCTGGGGTGTGGTCGTGCTGTGGTAAGGTCGTGCTGGGGTGCGGTCGTGCTGGGGTGTGGTCTTGCTGGGGTGGGGTCGTGCTGGGGTGTGATCGTGCTGGGGTGGGGTCGTGCTGGGGTGTGGTCGTGCTGGGGTGTGGTCGTGCTAGGGTGGGGTCGTGCTGGGGTGGGGTCGTGCTGGGGTGTGGTCGTGCTGGGGTGTGGTCGTGCTGGGGTGTGGTCGTGCTGGGGCGTGGTCGTGCTGGGGTGGGGTCGTGCTGGGGTGGGGTCGTGCTGGGGTGGGTTCGTGCTGGGGTGCTCCGCACCCTGTGATTTATCGATCGGGTCGTGCTGGGGTGGTCGTGCTGGGGTGTGGTCGTGCTGGGGTGTGGTCGTGCTGGGTGGGGTCGTGCAGCTGAGTCCTGCCAAAATTCCAGGAAATCGTACAAAAACAAAGGAATTAGTCGAGACATCATCGAAATTCCTTCGCGCGGGGCGCTTTTCCGCGTCGCGGTCGGCTCTGCAAAACAAGCGTTTCGCTCGAGACATCCTCAGCAAATTCTGAAAACAAGCGTTTCGCTCGAGACATCCCCAACTCTGCAAAACCAGCGTTTCGCTCGAGACATCCTCAACAAATTCTGAAAAACAAGCGTTTCGCTCGAGACATCCTCAAATTTTAATTCGTCGCCGGCCTCCTTCGACCTCGTTATTTATCAGGGAAAAAATTCGCCGGCCTCCCTCAAGCAGGCACCGGGGGACTAGGTTTACCTACTAAAAGAGAACCCTGGGCCCGCGCCCTTTCCGGGAAAAAAGACATGATGGACCCACGAACCCGGAAAGGGATATAGACATGTGGAGCATGGACACGTTTTCATGATACCCAACTGGGCAACACCTCACGAAACATCCCACGAGACACCTCACGAAACAGCCCACGAGACACCTCACGAAACATTCCACGAGACACCTCACGAAACATTTCCCAGACAAACACCCGCCGAAACATTCCACGAGACACCCCACGAAACATCCACGACGACAGGCAACCACTCAACCAAGGCGGTGTGGTCGTGCTGGGGTGTGGTCGTGCTGGGGTGTGGTCGTGCTGGGGGGTGGTCGTGCTGGGGGGTGGTCGTGCTGGGGGGGTGGTCGTGCTGGGGGGTGGTCGTGCTGGGGCGTGGTCGTGCTGGGGCGTGGTCGTGCTGGGGCGTGGTCGTGCTGGGGCGTGGTCGTGCTGGGGCGTGGTCGTGCTGGGGTGTGGTCGTGCTGTGGTAAGGTCATGCTGGGGTGCGGTCGTGCTGGGGTGTGGTCTTGCTGGGGTGGGGTCGTGCTGGGGTGTGATCGTGCTGGGGTGGGGTCGTGCTGGGGTGTGGTCGTGCTGGGGTGTGGTCGTGCTAGGTGGGGGGTGCTTGCTGGGGTGGGGTCGTGCTGGGGAGTGGTCGTGCTGGGGTGGGTCGTCGTGCTGGGGTGTGGTCATGCTGGGGCGTGGTCGTGCTGGGGTGGGGTCGTGCTGGGGTGGGGTCGTGCTGGGGTGGGTTCGTGCTGGGGTGCTCCGCACCCTGTGATTTATGGATCGGGTCGTGCTGGGGTGTGGTCGTGCTGGGGTGTGGTCGTGCTGGGGTGTGGTCGTGCTGGGGTGTGGTCGTGCTGGGGTGGTCCAAAATTCCAGGAAATCGTACAAAAACAAAGGAATTAGTCGAGACATCATCGAAATTCCTTCGCGCGGGGCGCTTTTCCGCGTCGCGGTCGGCTCTGCAAAACAAGCGTTTCGCTCGAGACATCCTCGGCAAACTCTGCGGAGCAAGCGTTTCGCTCGAGACATCCTCAACACACGAAAAGCGTTTCGCTCGTGACATCGATCGGGATTTCAAAAACAAGCGTTTCGCTCGAGACATCCTCAAATTTTAATTCGCCGGCCTCCTTCGACCTCGTTATTTATCAGGGAAAAAATTCGCCGGCCTCCCTCAAGCAGGCACCGGGGGACTAGGTTTACCTACTAAAAGAGAACCCTGGGCCCGCGCCCTTTCCGGGAACAAGACAAAGCCCTGGACAACCCTTGAGGTGCGGAGGGGGACCAGGAAGACAGGGGTAGCGCCTCGTGGCCCGAGGCACGTGCGCGGACGACGGATGCCAGGGGACGTACTGCGATAAGAAGAAGAAGAATAAGAAGAAGAAGAAGAAGAAGAAGAAGAAGAAGAAGAAAAGGGCCATGAATAGAGTTGCAAAAACGGCAAGAAAGCACGGACACTTTCGAAGGTCCGTGCGGGTTTCTTGGATCGGCGCTGGAGCCATCTCTGGTGCGAGGAGCGGAGGAGCGCACCAGTGGCGGCGCCAGAGGCACTGCCAGCGGGACCCAGCGCCGATCCAAGAGAACTGCGCGGTATTCCTCTGCTTCTCCGAAAATATCCTGTGAGATGTCAGCGCCCCTCTTCGCCGCCCCCTGCCCTCCATCACGAACGGCGAACATATCCATATCCGCGCCCTCGCGGTCTGGATTCCGGGGCACGATCCCGCATATACACGGTCGAATGGATACATTCCGCGCGGGGCATCTGCGAGAAAGCGCCCCACATACGCGGGGTCGCGGTCCAAGGGCCCGTCCCACGAGGCCGCGGATACGCATATGGCTTTTGCCCACGATCATCCAAAAGCCCAGCAAATTGGGCGTCGACCTGGGCCGCCGGACGCGCCACCGTCACGGCCCGACCGCCTCCCTGACGGTCGGGCCCAACGACCAGGCCCAAACTTCCAACAAAGTTCGAGGCCACAGCGAAACGTTCGAAGCACACAGCGCTCGAAGCACACAAGATGATGAGGCACATCCAGGAGGCCTCGCGCGGCAACTTGAGACCCAAAGCACGTCGGATCTACGTCAGATTCACGTCGGGTTCGCGTCGGACCTACGTCGGATTCGCGGCGGACTTACGTCGGAACATCGTCGCGCGAACGTGGTCCTCAAAAGAACGGAGCGGACGTGTGGACTGGACAATACAACTGTTGCGCGCCGTGCGAGGCGTCCAAGATTTCTCTTGGACAAGAGAAGCGGATGAAAACTCCGAACCATCGCCTGCGCGCAAACGCGACCCTGGGCAAGCGTGACCTCTGGTGCGCGGCCTGCGGTTCGTTGCGCTGCGCTGCGGCAACAGCAGCGGCCTGCGTGCTCGAACTTGGTTTCCCTGCGCCCCGCGGAAAGCGCGCACCAAATCTCACTCGGGCGACCGATCACTCCCTGCGCATGGCCAGAAACACCCCTGAAACGACGCAGGTTGGACGTCGACCCGGGCCGCTAGGCGCCCCTCAGGCCGATCCTCTCGGTGACTGGCAAGTCCAACGGCCGAGAGACCTGCGTGCTTCTCTTTGGAAGTCAAATTCGAAAATTAGGAGCACGGAAGCAACGCGGATTAGGTGTCGCCCCAGGCCGCCAGACGTGCCACAGTCCGACCGTCTCGTTTACTGTCAGGTCCAAGGACTGGGTACCGTCGGCCGACAGCACGGTCAGCACGGGCACGCGCGCGCAGGGCACCAGCTGCAGGCCAAGCTGCCCCCCCTGCGGGTGCATTCGGATATTGCTGATCCATATAACGTGTGAGTGCTATTCTTAGTGTGTGTGTGTGTTTGTTCTCTCTCTCTCTCTCTCTCTCTCTCCCCTGGGTATCTCTCTCTCTCTCCCTCTCTCTCTCTCTCTCTCCCTCTTCTTTCTCGCTCCCTTGTGTGGTTATCTCTTCTTCTCTCCCCCATACATCTGCACACATATTCAAATACGTATACATTATGCGCACATTCCATATAGTATACACACCTTTCTATGCATATTATGTATGTATGCATGCATACATGTATGCATGTGTGTATGCACGCGTGTACATATATATATATATATATTATATATATATAAATATATATATATATATAATATATTATTTATTTATGTATGTATGCATGCATGCATGCATGCATGCATGCATGTCTGCATGTCTGTATGCTTATATGCTTATATATATATATATGTGTGTGTGTGTGTGTGTGTGTGTGTGTGTGTGTGTGTGTGTGTGTGTGTGTGTGTGTGTGTGTGTATGTGTCCACCGGCCACCTTGTGGGGCCACCAGGCTGTAGGCCTGCTTGTGCTGTTCCCTGCGCAACCTGCTGTAGTTTAAAATCTCAAATATTGCAATACTGCTGTCCGCTTCCTAGTGTAAATTGCTGAAATCTGCGCGGGGAGGGGGAGCCCAAAACCAGCCGGTTACCACACCCGGATCGCGCTCCCTGAATTCACGGGGGGTCGTGGGACTCATGAAACTGATGAGATTCGGGCCCCCCAAACCATAATCCCTTGTAAGTTACGCAATGTTCGCGTCCCCGAGGCCAGAAACCTTGGACATTACACAGCGCTTGCGTTCCCGAGGCAGCACACCCTCGCAAAATACATTAGATTCGCGTCCACGATGCCACAACCCCTAGCAAATTACGCCATACTCGCAGAGCTGAAACCAAAAGTGCTCCAATGCGCCCACAAATGGTCCCAAGACGGCCCAAGAGGGCCCAAAGGGGTCCCAAGAACGCTTCAAGAGCCTTCCAAGAGAGCCCCAAAAGGCAAAAACCGTAGATAAAAAAAACATGTTTGAAGGATTTTGGCCTTGTCGCATTTTCGGCGCAGCAAGACGGCTCAAGAAGCTCCTACGACCGCCCCCAGGCAACCCAACCCGCCTCCAAGAAGGTTCCAAGACGGCCCAGGAGGGCTCCAAAATGGCCCAAGTAGCGCTCGAGACAGCCCAGGACCCGAGAGTCCCCGAAAGATCGCTCCAGGACTGGCAAGGCGGCCTCCAAGGCGGCCCAGAGACGCCTCCACGACGGCCGACAAGGCCCAAGATAGCACGTCGGAGACGGTCAAGATGGCCCCAAGAGGCCCGAATAGAATCCCAACATGGCCCCCCCGCCATGACCCTCTAAGCGTTCCCCGCTGGATTCCCACAACAACTCCAGGAAAACCTCATCCGAGGGCAAACGTGCTCATTCCCCACAGATGTTAATTCAACGAAAGAGCGGGTGCTGAAGCCGCATTGCTGGGCATGGCCCTGCGGAAGCCGTTGGCATGATCCCACCTGCGTCGACCAAGTTCAAGCCACGCTTGCAACGCTTAATGTAGCTTGGTTGAGCTCCTTTTTGAAACAAGACATCCTCCTGGAGCGTCGGCCGCGTCCGCCGGCCACTCCGAAACAAGCGCAGAGTGCACCTTTAAACGCTGGCTCTCGGACGAACCGAAGCGCGCCCTCGACGCGCGCATTTCCCTCCAGGAGATACCTGTTTGTGGGCGTGGTCCTGTGTGACCATGGCTACCTGAAGCACAGCTGGGCATGACCCTGTCTGATGCTTGCGCGCTGGAGCAGTGCTGGGCATGGCCCTCCAGGCATACCTGAGAGCGATTTTCGCCACTGCAGATCAAGTCGCACGAACTCATCTTGCATCTCGCTTTCACGCCTGTCCAAATGCCTCAGACGATGCCGCGGAACTTCCAGAACCTCCGTCTGTTTCTGCCTTTTGCTGAGAGATTATTGCCTGCATGTGAACGAAGCCTTGGAAATGCATGCACGAAGGTCCAACCCAATCAACTTCCAATTCCGAAAACGGGAAACCAAACGCGTGTCTACGCGAGATACCACGGCGGCTGTATTGAAGATTGAGCGACAGGGTATGGCATCGACAATGACATCAGGAGAACCATGGACGTACGCCGCGGCCAATGCCTGTTTCAATAAAGACTCGAACAATCCAGCCATCTCCTGCATATTTCTGGCCGCGCCCATGAAATTCACGGTCCATGTCGACGCGCCCATCATTTCTTCTGCAACGGCATAGAAATTGGATATCCCCCGAAGGATCCGTGATGGAAGTGTCGCGCAGAACTCAGTCGCCAAACACCTGGACACTTCAATCCGTATGTGTGTATATATACACGTATGCGAAACTTGGCCTCCATTCTGACTTGTCGAAATGCACCGCTGTATGCATGTCCCTGAACGCTCAAAAACATGATGGACCCACGAACCCGGAAAGGGATAAAGACATGTGCAGCATGGTCACGTTTTCACGATACCCAACTGGGCGACATCTCACGAAACATCCCACGAGACACCCCGCGAAACATCCCACGAGACACCTCACGAAACATTCCACGAGACACCTCACGAAACATTCCACGAGACACCCCGTGAAACATTCCACGAGACACCCCACGAACAGGCAACCACTCAACCAGACACGCCACGAAACATTCCACGGGGGTGCGACTGGGTGTGGTCGTGCTGGGGTGTGGTCGTGCTGGGGTGTGGTCGTGCTGGGGAGTGGTCGTGCTGGGGTGTGGTCGTGGTGGTCGTGCTGGGGGGTGGTCGTGCTGGGGGGGTGGTCGTGCTGGGGGGTGGTCGTGCTGGGGCGTGGTCGTGCTGGGGCGTGGTCGTGCTGGGGCGTGGTCGTGCTGGGGTGTGGTCGTGCTGTGGTGAGGTCGTGCTGGGGTGTGGTCGTGCTGGGGGTGGTGCTGGGGTAGGGTCTGCTGGGGTCAGGTCGTGCTGGGGTGTGGTCGTGCTGGGGTATGGGACTTGCTGGGGTGGGGTCGTTGTGGGTGTGCTCTGTGCTGTGGTGTCCTGTCGTGCTGGGGTGTGGTCGTGCTGGTATGGTCGTGCTAGGGTGGGGTCGTGCATTTCGCTCGAGACATCCTGCCAAAATTCCAGGAAATCGTACAAAAACAAAGGAATTAGTCGAGACATCATCGAAATTCCTTCGCGCGGGGCGCTTTTCCGCGTCGCGGTCGGCTCTGCAAAACAAGCGTTTCGCTCGAGACATCCTCGGCAAACTCTGCGGAGCAAGCGTTTCGCTCGAGACATCCTCAACACACAAACATGATGGACCCACGAACCCGGAAAGGGATATAGACTGTGGAGCATGGACCGTTTTCATGATACCGCAACTGGGCAACACCATCACGAAACATCCCACGAAACACCTCACGAAACAGCCCACGAGACACCCCTCACGAAACATCCACGAGACACGCTCACGAACATTTCCACGAGACACCCCGCGAAACATTCCACGAGACACCCCACGAAACATTTCCAGGCCAGCACGGAACCCGACTCAACCAAGGCGGTGTGTGTCGTTCTGAGGTGGTCCGTCTGGGGTTTGTCGTGCGTGGGGGTTGGTCCGTGCTGGGGGGGTGTCGTGCTGGGGGGTGGTCGTGCTGGGGGGTGGTCGTGCTGGGGCGTGGTCGTGGGCTGGGCCGTGGTCGTGCTGGGGCGTGGTCGTCTGGGGCGTTGGTCGTGCTGGGCGTGTCGTGCTGGGGGTGTCCTGCTGTGTAAGGTCATGCTGGATGGGCGGTCGTGCGGGGGTGTGTTCTTGCTGGGGTGGGGTCGTGCTGGGGTGTGATCGTGCTGGGGTGGGGTCGTGCTGGGGTGTGGTCGTGCTGGGGTGTGGTCGTGCTAGGGTGGGGTCGTGCTGGGGTGGGGTCGTGCTGGGGAGTGGTCGTGCTGGGGTGTGGTCGTGCTGGGGTGTGGTCATGCTGGGGCGTGGTCGTGCTGGGGTGGGGTCGTGCTGGGGTGGGGTCGTGCTGGGGTGGGTTCGTGCTGGGGTGCTCCGCACCCTGTGATTTATCGATCGGGTCGTGCTGGGGTGGGGTCGTGCTGGGGTGGGGTCGTGCTGGGGTCTGGTCGTGCTGGGGTGTGGTCGTGCTGGGGTATGGTCGTGCTAGGGTGGGGTCGTGCATTTCGCTCGAGACATCCTGCCAAAATTCCAGGAAATCGTACAAAACCAAAGGAATTAGTCGAGACATCATCGAAATTCCTTCGCGCGGGGCGCTTTTCCGCGTCGCGGTCGGCTCTGCAAAACAAGCGTTTCGCTCGAGACATCCTCAGCAAATTCTGAAAACAAGCGTTTCGCTCGAGACATCCTCAACTCTGCAAAACCAGCGTTTCGCTCGAGACATCCTCACCATTTTCTGAAAAACAAGCGTTTCGCTCGAGACATCCTCAATTTTTAATTCGCCGGCCTCCTTCGACCTCGTTATTTATCAGGGAAAAAATTCGCCGGCCTCCTTCAAGCAGGCACCGGGGGACTAGGTTTACATACTAAAAGAGAACCCTGGGCCGGAGCCCTTTCCGGGAAAAGTGGCCCGCACCCTGTGATTTATCGATCGGGATTTCAAAAACAAGCGTTTCGCTCGAGACATCCTCAAATTTTAATTCGCCGGCCTCCTTCGACCTCGTTATTTATCAGGGAAAAAATTCGCCGGCCTCCTTCAAGTTTGCACCGGGGGACAGGTTTACCCACTAAAAGAGAACCCTGGGCTCAGGCCCTTTCCGGGAAAAACATGATGGACCCACGAACCCGGAAAGGGATATAGACATGTGGAGCATGGGCACGTTTTCACGATACCCAACGGGGCAACACCTCACGAAACATCCCACGAGACACCTCACGAAACATCCCACGAGACTCCTCACGAAACATTCCGCGAGACACCTCACGAAACATTCCAGGAGACACCCCGCGAAACATTCC